CTACTCTATATACATTATATACATAGAATCTTATAGGTTCTATGTAAATATAAGTCAAAATTGTTCAAAGTTCTGCATTTTATTTTCCCGACTGTTAACAGAGGGGAAAGTATAGCGATCGGTCAAAATAATGACCCCTCCAAGATTTTGGAATTAGGACTTCTTGAAACGTCGGGAAATGCAAAAAAAAATGTGGGTTTTTTCCTGTATCTATGGATGTTAGTGTGTGGGGAGGACACGATTTTGTTCACCCTGTTTGAAGCTTAACAATTCTTGTCCTTTTTGTCGAAAATTTTTTAAAATTTTGCAGAGAGGTTTGTTTATTAGAGGGATCGATGCTATTAATTGTTGGAGATTAAAGGTCGAGGGGGTGGAGAGACAACGAGGATCGTATGTATCTCCAATAGGATCGGATTTAATGACGATATTACTCGTTATTAGCATTTACAATATTTTTATAAAACCCATCCATACCCTCAAAATTAAGCTTCTTGCCATTCTGTAACAGTTAAAAATATAAAAAGTTTTTAAATAAAATATGATAACAGATGGCACTATCAAGTGTTGCCGGGGAAATTAAGCAACTCGTTGTTGGATTTTTTGTTATACATATTACATTTCTATTATTTTTTCAAAAAATTAGATAAATGCAACATGTTAAATTCATATTACTTAAGATTTCCACGTGTTTACGTGTATACAAGAATGAAAAAAAAACGAGAAAGTAATATAAAACTGAAAAATTCAGAAGAAAATTCAATTAATTTATACTATTAATTTTAATTAAGAAAAAAATAAATCATATGGAAATAAAGCAAAAAAAAAAAAAAATTTAAATCTCATTTCTTGGAAGTCTATAAATAGATTATTTCATTCTCATTTCCTGGACAACCACATATAATACAGGAATAGGAAGATAATTATAGTATTATCTTCATATAGTAATTATTTAATTTTGTGCTTTGTGAGTTATATACGGTAGACAGAAGTAGCCTTATTAATTAGTTCATTGATTGATCTTTCATGATCTTGCATGTACTTTAAAATTACATGGCATATAATCGCATTTTTAAAACTGCGATTAATATAATTTTAAAGCACGTATAAGATGATAAAAAATGTTTCGACGAACTTATTAATAAGATCGTTACCACTTACATAACTTGCAAGATGCAAAACTAAATCAGCGAACTACATCACTTTTAATAATAAATTTTAATTAATAAATCGTATAATGCGTGCTATTATTAATTAAAATTATAAAATAATGTTGTATTTTACACATAATAGCCTCTTTTTTATTCATTCTTTCTAACATAACTATCATACCGTTATAATTTAAATTCAGTTTATTCTAAATTATTAATTTCAGAAAATAATATATGCGGTTAAACTCGCTCATTAGGTGATATCTGAGTCACACACGCGCCAATTTAATATTTTAGTTAGACAATAAACCGGAATATTTCCGATTTTATATTATGTCGGTGTCTCTGAAACTATAATCTGCTTCGAATTGTTTGGACTATGAAGCTTCAGGATTTAACAGATTATTCTTCTACTGAAGTATACATTTATATACTTTTGAAGCTTGATGAACATACAACATATTGTTCAATTTCTGTATTCCTGTAGGAATGAATTAATATTTTATTCATTCTACATGAGCTAAGAAAATATATAAAATGTATATAAATGAATAAAGAATGAAACAAAAACAATTATTTTGTATGAAATACAATAATAAAACATTATTATGGAGCTATAAAAATTTGTTTTATTTTTTTATGTGGCATAAGATATAATAAGTCTAAGGGCTATCTACAAAAACAAATCGATCCTCTCTCTCTCTCTCCTCTTGGAGACTTATAAATGTAACGAGATATTTTCATTAGAGAATATTTAGATTTTTTAAAAATATTATTCCATATTTACTTAAATAAATTTAAATATTTAGATCAAAATATATGAGTTTTACAATGCTAAACAATAATTTAAAATAATTAAGTTGAAACGATGTCACAACTTGCAAGAGGAATTTATACTGTGTAATTAAAATTAACTAATACTATAGTGCTAATTATATTATTTCAACATTACCTATTCGATCGAAAAATCCTATGGAAGTAATTTAATATTTAAGCAAAATTTAAAAAGAATAAACATACTGAATAAAACACAAATAACAGTATAAAAACTCGTTTAAAACATTTTATATAAAGAAAATATAAAAAGTGATAAAAACTTCTGAAGCTTTCAGTTCATTACTGGCTACATGCCTAAAAGGAAAATAAAATTTAATACATTTGAATTTTATTCATGTTTTAAGGATTTTGAAAAGTATGTTTTTAAATTTATAAAAACTACAATGAGATTTGTTTATATAATTAAAAGAAGAAGAAGAAGAATGAAAAAAGATAAAATTATAACCAAATATTTTAAAGATTTTTTTCAATAGTCATCTTTATAACGAAAATAATTCGTTATTATATTTTATATTCAGAGAAGTATTATAAATGACTTAATTAGTTATGCCTAAATTAGTATCGTTCTTTAATTAAAATTATTTTAGCACGAATACAATCATTTTAATTATAGTTTAATCGACGGACTCATCTAACATGAATTTTACCTCGATAATAAACATAAATTTACAGATAAATAAATCATAATAATTATTTTTTTTCTCTTCCAAAAACTTTTTACTTCGTTTTTTACTTTTATAAAGTTATTGAACAATTGTTCATATCCTTGCTTAACAACTTTTGATAATTAAAACGACCCTTTAAATTTATTCTGATAATTACAACTGTTAGGCTAGTTTTGATAGTTTTATTGGTGAAAATATGGTTTCGTCGTATCCATTCTATTGATAATTTGATTAGTTTAAGTGTAATAAAAAATTTTTTGAATGAATTTTATAGCAAATAATCTGTATATATCAGAGAGAGATTTTGCATCTTTCATCTTATAATAAACAAGATATAACTTTCTGAAATCATTTTTTTAAATAAAATGAATGAGTAAAAATACACACAATTAAATTACTGGAGGAATGTATACTCTATTATTAAAAATTCGAATCCTTTGGTCAATCACCCGCTTTTTATTTCTTAGTTTACTTTTCCATATTTGAAGTTATTAAAATTTCTGTAATTAACGCTCTTAAATTTAATGAACAGAAACATGATATTTTTCTAAGTCTCATTAATGATTTGCTTATATTTAGCATTCACACGCGGTATTTTTGCTATTTCCTCCATAAAAACTATTTAAATCTACAAAAAAACAAACAAACAAAAAAATTCTACAGAGACTAATAAGAAAAAATAAAAGAGGCTGGCTGCCATTACTCCAATTCTTTGAACTATTAGACATTTTCTTTATTATTAGAGCAATTTCCGGATGCCAAGAGAAACATTTCTAGATATATTCGATTGTTCTTCATAATTCTCGATTCTACTGACTGATATTAATTATCAGTCGATAGTAATTAATTGATCTTACGATAATTGGTAACTCGTCTGCTTACTCATTGTGTAGAAAGAGCAGGAGTTTTCCGGAGATTTCCATTCTCCAACATTCACTAGAGCATTCACACAGAGATTACGATCGGAATGCATTTAAAATTATCCAACATGTAATCACGCTACTTTCGATGCAATATTCAATAATCTATATCATATAGAAAGGTTGACGGAAATATTTCGCATTCCGCCTTCGTGTCGCCTTCAGAATTATTGCAGTTTATCTGCACATATCCTATTATGCATTAGTAAGGAATGTAAACTCGCATATCGTTCTACTTATGGCCCGCGGGCCAAATCTAATTCCATATTTACAATATATAAATTAATCAACTTTATCTTAAAAAGAAAAAAAAATTGTTGCTGTTGTTAGAAAAATCTATACAAGTTTAAAGCTACTTTTCGTAAGTAACACATTTTATTTAAGTTATATCGATCTCACTCGTCTACGAAATAGTTTATGTCGCTACTATAAAAAGGATTAAAATATCACGATATAAATCTTAAAAAATCAAGAATTTAGTAAATATTTTAAAAAAAATAAAATACAGTACAGTATTTTATTTAAAAATATTAAGCACAGACAAAACGATAAACTATATGCATATAGAATAATCATTTGCATAAATCTTAAAAAATCAATCTCTCTAATTATCTTCCTTAATATTGAAATATGTTTATAAATATATTAAATTATAATAATTCGTAGATTACAATCAATAATCATTTCCTGTAAAATCCATAATGTTTCATATCAGATGTTTCTTTAAATCTAACAAAAGGCCTTCAATTATATCCGTTTGTTATTCTAAATATACTTCTATCAATTTATTCTTCAATATTACAGGTATTTTCAGGAGTTAAACATTAATATCTCATTTTTCATTCATCATCACCATCATCGTGAATAATATCAGTTTAAATCCGTTCATTATAAGTTCAAGGTGTTTTTGATTGCTTCACCTATTTTCTAATACAAATCCAATTTTGCATATAATCATCAAAAATAAAATGTAACTCTATTGTAAGAGGTGATATTTGATAACAGACCTATTTCTTAAATAATTATTAATATCAAATGCTACTAAATTCTCCATTTAAAGGTAAATTTCCATAGATACGAGCAATGGCGCGTTATAGCATAATGGGGCCCAGGCAAATCTGAATTAGGGGGTCCCACGTACAGTGTTGACTATGAACATTTTTTCTTCGAGGGAATTTTTTAAGGGAAATATTTTCTCATAGAAGATTGGTTTATGGGGGCCACAGGCAATTGCCTTTATTGCCCTTAGGATAACCGAATAGGATATCATTTTCATATTCATCTTAAATAAAATTATAGATCAGATTTACGGAAAAAGGACATATATTAAAATCTAAAATAATAAAATACATTAGTTAGAGTCCCATTAATACTTTTTATTTTTCAAACAGTTATTTAAAAATATACAAGTAATAAAAAAATGTACTTACTATCCTCCGTGAGAAGTATGTCTTTCCTTATTCTTTTTCTTTTGGGCCGACGAGCAACTACTACCCATATTTAATTTTTCAAAATGTCCAAATCAGGATTTCGAATTATTTTCAAAAATCATTTTGGAAAATAATCTACAAATTAAATTTAAAAAAAAAAAACATTACCTAAAAGTATCACACACACACACGCGCGCGCACAGATATATCGATTTATTCAAAAATAAAAATAACGATTCGCTATTTTACGCGATTTTCAGGATATGATCAATAGGTCACGTGAATTGACGAACAAAGGTCAAGCTACTTCTGTTCTTACTCCGTTATTTTCCAAGACAATTATGGAACTGTGGACACACGTAACGTAAACAAGAATTTAAACAGTATCATCGTTTGTTTTTCTAGTCGTATTTTTTTTTTGAGAAAACGAAGTCTTTAAGGAAAGGAAATACCGTTAAATGTCCTCACGCGACAACAGCCAACATCTCTAACCAATCTGTCGTCAGCAAGAAAAAATAAAACAGAATTTCCTTTTACATTCTGAATAAATTTCTCTTGTTTTTCTGTTTCTACAGACCCATTTTTTTTCACGCGTAAATATATATATTTTTTCCCCTTGTTTCAGACGGAAATTTATCGATTTATTTCGACCGATCGTCCCGAATTTCACCGTCGAGACGACGGAAACAATGTTAAAATTCCTTCGCTCATAAGATAAATATTTACAATTTGCCTTCACCGTTAATTAGATACAAACAACGTTAGAGACGAAAGTATAACGAGGTGAAGTCTATTTTTCCCAGGAATTTTCTATAATAAATTGCTTTATTTCACGCCGAAGAGCATTAAACTCCTGTAAATCGATCAATTAGTAGGAATGTACGGATTCTTTTACAGATAGCCGTGAATTTTGCTTGAAGAAACACGTAAAAAAATATAATAAAATATATATAAAAAAAAATACTGATCGACTAGAATAACTCGGACTTACAATACTGGTTGACTTATTCCCGACTCGATCCCCTGTAAACCACTTTCCCAGCGTTGCAGCGAAGTATTGCGCCGAAGACCAAACTGAAATTTGTATCCTTAACGACTAGCAATTCGATCAAATTTTCTTAGCTTCTACCAATCTCTACAGTCAAGATGTTGGTTTTACTCTTCGTTCATCGCCATTTTGTGCGGTTTCGTATCTACTGCGCATTCTTGCCGTGTCATTTATCGATTCCGGTCAGACGTGTGTGGCCCTATTGTTCGACGTGGTACCGACGAAAAATAAGTCCGTAAATGATTTAAACACAAATTATTTATTACACCTAAATTCAAAGATGCAATCACAATTTAGGAAATTTTTCCTTTAAAAAAAAAAAATTTAATTTTTTCCCTAAAATCTACCAAAAACTTTTGACCTATTTAAGTGTCATCGCCGGACGACGAAAATTCATTTTTTTTCCCCTCATCTTAATTTATTATATTATATTTTATGGAGTATAAAAATATTAAAGAGAGTGGGGAATTTATTTTTAAATGCGCGATTGATGTTAATTTTAATCGTTATTTCGTCCTTTAATATATTCGAATTTAAAATTTGTAACGGTAGGGAAAAATGAGGGAAAAAACCCTAAATAATTAGATCAGAATCGGATAATTTAACACGAGGTGGAAGGACGATGTACGTAATGTTAATTATCTTTAGAATTGATAAGATACGAGCGAAAAGCATTAAAAATCTTTAAATTTGCTTTGAATTTTAATAAATTGCATCAATCCAAAGAGGACATCTCATTATTACTAATCTCTGTCACATTTTATGCATAGTTTGCCACACCCAGGTTTATTTTAGCAGAAAATTCCGATTTATGCTGGAAATTATCTTTGAATTATTTCATTTATAGAATTGTTTTACATTAAAGATAGAAAATTTATTCAAAACATTAAATTTAAAATTTTCTATCGACCAATATTTTAAGAGAAAAATCTAATAATAATCATTTTTTCCCCTTCTTAAAACGAAAATGAATCGAAATTAATTCAAACCTTATTTTCGCTCGTGAGAATTAGCGCCGGGTTGATTTAATCGCGCGCTCTGGTGAGCGAAATTCAAAGTAATTAACGAAAAATATATATTTTTTTCACTATAAAATAATTTTTTAACGTTAAATACATTAAACAGACATTATTTTACAATTTTTTTTCGTTTTAATTATTTTTTTACTTTAAAATTTTTGAATAAATCAAAACACATGCTCAAAAAAAAATCTAGTAAATAGTAATGTTTACGTTTAAATAGTGAAAGTGATTTTTATTAAACACGAGTTTAAAAAGGACCAATTAAAACACGCGAAACATTTTTTTAAATGTATAAATAACCACAACTATCCAAACAAAATAATACAGTTTACCATTTATCCTAAATTTACATGTTATGAATTATTGACGAGGAGAATATTTTCAGAATATCACAATTCGAAAATTCTAATATTTAACGTCGGAAAATAGAATATATGGAGGAATTAATGATTTAAAACAAGCATACCTGTCAAACGAATGTGTGGCGGATTCTTCGACAGAGCACACTGCATCCCGTTCTTCCTTTCGGAATACAGTCTTGCTTACGTCTTAACAACAATCTATGACGTCAAGCTCACGTCGATGACGTCGATATCACGAACTCCCGACTATTATTTTTCTTAAACTAATTCGTGATTAGATAGGAGAAAGCATTTTTCGAGGTAAACAATCGCTACTGTCTTTAATCGATTTTTTTTTTTCCTAATATAAAATTTGAAATTCGCTAGGCGATTCCTAGCAGTTAAACGCTAAATTAACAAGCGTACATAATGCGAGTTGATGTACGCTCCTTTCGAAAAAAATAACACACAACTGTATCGAATAACACTAGGTTGGTTTTTTTCCCCTTTCGATAAAAGGCTGTCACGCTATTGTCTTCGTTCGTCTAATTCCTTGCAGTCGTGACGCTCGAATGTTACAGTACAAGATCGATTTTTAACAATGTTTTAATTTTAGTTAGCGTTTATTGGTGACATAAAACCTTGAATACAAAAAATAATTTTGCTATAGAAACAGAATTTTTATGCTATAATAACGTAATATATTTTAATTAAGTAAATTCAATCGGAAGAATTTTGAAGATACGTTCGATCCATTGACAAATTTCCATCGATTTACGCTCATTAATTATCATTAAAAATGCGTTTTAAAGAATTAAATTCTTTATAATTTAAACATTCTTTAAAAAAAATCTATTAATTTTCCGCGCCAACACGTTATTACATCGTTTAAAACTACGGCAATTTCGGCATTCGACAGTTTAAATGGCATGATAATATGACATAAAAGTAAATGTTTATCGCTAAAATAATGTAATTGGTTGAAAGTAATTTATCGATCAATAGCAACAAATATTTACACGATTCTGCGACATCGATATTCATTAAGAAAGTTAATTGCTAAGATTGTTTTAATATGAATAAATCATAAATTTCGATCGCGTTTACATTGACGATATCAGGAATTAATCTACGATGATTTAATGCAAAAATATCTAACAAATATTGACAGAAAATTGTTCTGTGTTTCAAAAATATAGCCTAAAATTAAAGATAGAGTAAATTAAGCAACCCGGAATGTGATACTAAAAAAGCTCGAGATTAGATGATAATTTATTGTGCGTGTAAATTGTTTCCACACATTAACACAGACGAGGATAATATAGATTGAAATATTCTTTATTGAAGAAAATAGAGGTGGTGTTTTTATTAATACGTTAGGAAGTATATTAAGGGAACCGAATAAAATATTTTGTACATTAATTTCAGTAAATTTACATAAAATTAAACTGAACACAGAAAAATTATTTAAATGGTAAGGATTATTTTTTTCTAATTGACAATCTTTTATCAATATATATTCTTCTAACTTCGTATTATCATTCTTCTGATATTTCTCATGGTTTTATATTGTTTTTCTTACTGTCATTGGTGTCCAAACATTACATTTTTCACCTTGTGTCCGACCAAATTTGGATTGGTGGACTTACGTGGCCCGAATGTTTTTTCTTTACAATTACGAATTATAAGGTGTTCATATGTCGGATTTGAGCTGCATTTCTCCAAGAGTAATTTTCTCGCCCGGTTTAAAAGCGGGCATGCCCAAATAAGGACAGGAGGAGCAGCGAAATGCGTCACCTAAATAGCACTGAAACAAAAGAATTTAGATATATTAATATATATAGTGATTATATTTTAAAGATTTATAAATACATAAAGTTACGTAATAAATCTTTATTATCTGGAAGACTTAAAAATGTCACCAAATTAATCATTCGTATTAAAATCAATAATTATTCTTTAATAGCTTAGCCACAAAGGGAAGAAAAATGTATTTCTTAAACATTTTAATAATAAAATTTCTAGAAATTATGAATTCTTAATTAAATTTTTAGTATATACACAAAAATGCAATTTTTATTTCTATAAATACAGTAAAACCCGTATAAACCGGATCGCATGGTACCGAATTTTTTTTTTTTCGATTTGCAAGTTTCCCGTTTTAGTCAGGTTCCGCTTTGGACAGGTTTTACTGTAATATGTAAATAATATAAAAGAAATTCTGCTATAGTTTATATTCTCAAAATAAATTATCAATAAAATGTAGAAAGCGAAACTAAGTAAATTTATTTTCGAATAGATTAAAACATTTCAGTTATTATTCAAAACGATTATACAGTTCTGATATGTGTCCTGCACAAAAGTTGTCATTATCAATCAAAGCATCCATTAAAAAAGTGACCACACTCCTTGCATCTGATGGCATTTTTAAAATAATGGCCTGATCCATAATTGAAAAGACAAGGCAGAAAATGGCATTTTTATTCTAAGACGGTTTGTCCTCGACTCTCAGCCGAGTGCGTGAATTATCCATGTAATCCAGCATAATTCATCCATGAATCCTGATTAATCAAGAGAATCTACGAATGTATTTCTTCTAGCAGCTGTTAATATTACGATGATTTTGCTATCCGCACAATTTTCTTTGATCATGTTTACCAACAATTTAAAGCCAAACTCCATTAGATTAGAACTGCAATTAGACATTGTCATTTGCATAATAAATTTCAATAGGTCAAAAATTAGATTTAAAAATGAAAAAACAAATCCTAAAATAGTTTGAAGTCTGCTACTTCATCGTAATACTAACTACTCCTTACATCTGAAATGCAACCAAGTGAAAGTAGGACAAAATACTAAGGAGTATCTGCAGGAGATGTGCAGTAATAATTTCTCTGCAACAACTGTGAGAAGTGGACTACTAGAGAAAGATAAAAGAAAATTTCGAACACGAACAGGTCGTGTTGTGATTGGAACAATAAATAACTTCTCTTGGAGAAACGGAAATTGGTCGATTGCATGGAAGAGAAAAAAGAAATGGCAAGATTAAATATTGATATAAGAGGATATAAAAAATATGACATATATTCGAAGTCTTTGGAGAGGAAGTAGGGTGAGAAAAGATTCTCATCCTTCTTCCTCTTGGTGGAGATCACTTGGTGGAGATCATTGTAGAACCTAGGGTATTTTTGAATAAAAACAGATGATGGCGACGTTAATAAAATTACAAATACTTTGAATGTTCGTTAACTATGAAATTATACTCATTGAAATACTCAATTTTTTATTTGAATACAGTATTATAAAAAAACATCGAATTTGAAAATGGATAAGAATTGTAATCTAAGTACTCACTTATGTAACAAAATATAATATACTTATCTCAAAATTAAGAAGTTATATTTTGAAAATTCAACCATATACTAAAAATATACGAATGTTTTAAAGTTATAATTTGACAAATGACAATTTAAAAAAATATTTCTACATCTGAATTAGATCGAAGTCAGGTTGACATTTGATATAAATGTATTCTATTGCAAAACGAATAGCAGATATTATAACAAAACGAAGTAACTTTTTGGAAAATACAATTTAAAAAGATATCTGTAAATTTAGAATTAATATTTCATTAAGAATTCATTAACAAGAAAAAAAAATTTTAAACCAAATAAATTTTACACAATATCGTAAAATTTTTACCTTATATATATATATATATAGGGAAATGTTTATTGAATTTTAAAAAAATCTATATAAATTCACATATTATGATTACTAATTAAATCATTGAGTATTGCCAGATGTTTTACTTCAGTAGTTAACGGAATTAGATCAGACTATCTCTCAATATACGGAATTTAAAAAAAAGAGGGCAATCTGTACTTATCGCATTTCAATGTTACTTTCACTGTTATTAGTAGTTAAAAAGTTTAAATCAACCCAATAATAATCACGTCCATTCTTAGGAACTCTTTCAACACTACTCATTAATGTCAAGAGAGAAACAAAAGGGTAAAAATATATATTATACAAGATGGTCCATTTTAATCAGTCCTTTGCAATAATTCGAAAAATACACATCCCGCAAAAAAGAATCATTAAACCAAAAACTTCGAGATGAAATTATCGGTTTCATCATAGAGACGATACAATCAATGAAAACGGAGTTAAGTTGATTTTTTAAACGGGAATACCCCATTTTTAGAATTAATTATTAGAATCCTACATCAAAAACACCGACTTCAACCCAGAACATTTTTTCAAACGTGTATAGTACTTATCAGAAACTAGTTCCACAGCGTGTTAAAGCCAACAAGCACGTTATAAAGAGACGACATTAATCTTGATTCATCAAATAAAAATTTTCCTAATGATTCTTAAAGCATTTTTCTTCCTTTCTTTCAGTGAACTTCACACACATCCACAGATTCACGCGTGCACCATGCGACAGCCCCATAAAACATCAAACGCTCATAACTTCTGATAAGTGCAGCTTTCGAAAAAATGTTTTAGATAAAAGTTAGTTTGTTTTTGATGTATAATCATAATATGCAATAAAAACGGATGTTCCTATTTAAAAAATAACCGTATTTCCATTGCTTGTAACGTCATTATAATGAAACGGATAATTTCAAGAGGCCAAATGGGCTAACATTTTTGGTTNACATAAAAACAGAATGCATTGAATCTAACAGAATTAAGTCGGGACAAATGTAAAATTTGAGTTAAGGAAGTTGGATTTATCAAGAGTCCATCATACTTAAAGCATTCAAACAGATTAATAAATAATAATAGCATTATAATCATCATCATACGGGATATTTTAACCTGTTATTGGAGTTACTTTAGTTTAAAAAAACATTACAAACACAGTGAATTCGTAACGGTTTAGTTAAGTTGGAAAAGTGTGTATAATTTCAATAGTTGCTTTTTACTATGCTAAGCAAATAACCTATATACTTAATCAACAAAACTACATGAAATATCTGTCAACCCTTAGGATTCTTGTATGGGTTGTAAGCCATTACTCATTCAAAATATGAAATGCAGAAAAATTCGAATCCATGCACCAGAAATAATAAATTAATAGAGGTTTTATTTACAAACTAGCTTACCCGTCGCACATTGCTGCGATCTCAGAAGAAAGGAAATTCAAGCAAACTCGTTATGATAAAATTCAATCTACATTATACAGTATTATAAAAAAAAACATCGAATTTGAAAATGGATAAGAATTGTAATCTAAGTACTCACTTATGTAACAAAATATAATATACTTATCTCAAAATTAAGAAGTTATATTTTGAAAATTCAACCATATACTAAAAATATACGAATGTTTTAAAGTTATAATTTGACAAATGACAATTTAAAAAAATATTTCTACATCTGAATTAGATCGAAGTCAGGTTGACATTTGATATAAATGTATTCTATTGCAAAACGAATAGCAGATATTATAACAAAACGAAGTAACTTTTTGGAAAATACAATTTAAAAAGATATCTGTAAATTTAGAATTAATATTTCATTAAGAATTCATTAACAAGAAAAAAAAATTTTAAACCAAATAAATTTTACACAATATCGTAAAATTTTTACCTTATATATATATATATATAGGGAAATGTTTATTGAATTTTAAAAAAATCTATATAAATTCACATATTATGATTACTAATTAAATCATTGAGTATTGCCAGATGTTTTACTTCAGTAGTTAACGGAATTAGATCAGACTATCTCTCAATATACGGAATTTAAAAAAAAGAGGGCAATCTGTACTTATCGCATTTCAATGTTACTTTCACTGTTATTAGTAGTTAAAAAGTTTAAATCAACCCAATAATAATCACGTCCATTCTTAGGAACTCTTTCAACACTACTCATTAATGTCAAGAGAGAAACAAAAGGGTAAAAATATATATTATACAAGATGGTCCATTTTAATCAGTCCTTTGNCAAGCCTAAGCTAAGTTTAGGCAAAAAGCCTAAACTGAAACATTCCAGTAAGAATAAACTACAAAAGAAATTTCAGCTGTAATGTTTCCAAATATCACTAATATTTCAATTCTCAATTTTCAAGATCTTGACAGTTCCAATTAATGTTTTTATAAGATGCCATATTATGTTTTCAAAAATATTGATGTAGTGAAATGTCAAACACCTAGATTCGGCCATCAAAAAATGAATATTAACTTTTTAACAGTAACTTTGTTGTTGTTCTTTTGGCCCTTATACTGTGTTCTAGCAATCATTCAGAATTCATAACTTTAATTTTGAAATTATGATTAATGTATTTTTTTTTAAACAGTGATTCTGTAAATTATATTTTGACTCTGTAAATATTCCTACATGCCTTGTGAAATACTGGCTTGAACTTAAAACTTCTAAACTTGAATTAGTGTACTTGGAGTTTACAGTACTTAAAATACTAATTTACACACACATTTGAAAACCTGGATGGATCAGCACCATTAGTCAGAATTTTCAATATTTCATTATATTTATATGCACTTAAAACATGTTTGATATATTATTGTGCTGCAATTTGAAAAAATTGTAGACCTATAAATTCCCACTGTCCCATCCATCTGTCTGTTCTTCTTTAATCTCCAGAATGGAGTAGACATGAAAGTCAAGACCATATATAGAAAGCCCCGATTAACTATATATGAATTTCTGATGCAAACCAGAAGTACGTTATCTCAATTTAAAATGTTTTGTAAAGTAGTTAATAGATGACTGGCATGACTCCATTGCTAANCTTACTAAATTAATTAAAAAATATAAGAATGAAATTCCAGCATATCAAGTCAAGA